GTCATTAGCCATTTCTAAAAAGTTTGTACAGCACGAGTATCATCATGGCTCAAATTACTCCACCTTACAGCTTATGGGTAGATCTTCACTTAGAAAGTGTACAGAGCAAACTCAAAGGCAGAAGTGGAGAGTAAATGCACACGCACACACGTGCACGCACAAACGTACACATACACCCCTTCCCTCCCTCTCAGGGTACACAGCAGGGCTCTGACGCCAGGCTTGCTGGGTTGAATCCCGACTGTGTCACTTGCCAGCTCTGTAACTCTGAATGGAGACTCAGGCCCGCTTTGCCTCAGTTCTCCCACCTGTGAAACGGGGGTGTGAACAGCATCCATGCCAGGAGCCGTTCTGAGCTTTAGACTAGTTCATTAATGCAGAGCACCTAGAACGAAGCCCGGCAAGAACATTAGTTACTGGCGTACATGCACACACGCTGGCTCCCGTCAGTCAAACGTCAATCCTAGTGACAGGAATCCTGCTTTAATCTTTACTCCCGTCCTTCAACGGTCAGATGATCACAAAAGTACATACTGATGATCCTCACATCCTTGGGAACAAAAATTTATTCAGTATATTTCACTCCTGAAGTACTGAATTCTTGTTTTTGAACATTAATGTATGGTAATAATTGGTTAACTCTCAATTACTGCCTGAAAAATTGATTATTCACAACACTTGATTCCTGGATAAGCAGAGACAGTCCAGAGGGACTTGTGGTAACAACTGCCTCATTTGCCAACCTGAGACAGCTGCAGGTTTTTCAAACTCTTCCCTCCTTTCTTTCCTAGGGCGAAGGCATTTTACCTCCAAGGCAGGGACACGCTTACAAAACTGCGCTGTGACACCCCTGGGCGTGAACAGGAGGGCACTGGTGACAATGATGCCTGCGTCCTACCAAAGCCTGTGTTAACCACCCTCATCGATGTAGTGTATGCTCTGTTTCCATCTTAAAATAAAAGCCAAGATGTTTCCGTTGTAAAATAGTTTGTAAAGTGAGTGTATTTTCTAAAGCAGTAATTTGCTTCTTTTAAATTTCTATCTAAACCAATACACATCACCCTTACCAATAAAGCATTATGCACACAGTGTTTTCTGAAGCACATATAACACTGAGGCGCTCCAGCAGAAATTCTAATAAGTACCCTATCACCATCAGTCTCAATTTTTGCTGAAAAGACAGAAAATGGGAAAAAATGGTGCAAGTCCAGTTTTTCAGTTTTAAGTACACACGTAACATTAAAAACACAGGGGCGTGTCCTCTCTTCATCAGAACTCATTTTCAAGGTCAAGCGAGCCACGGAGACACATCCAGGCACAGCACGACTGCAGCACTAGGAAGCCAGGCAGCCTCGCCTGTCGCTTTCTTGAGAGTCACGAGCTAGCGACACAGACATGTGACCCTGGGGTTTACTGTGGACTGATGCAGGTACAAACAAATCAAGACTTCGTCATCCTGGGACAAGCAAACAAGAGCTTGAGGGGAAGGGGACAGGGGACGCCGAGAGCCATCTCATCAGGCTGAGAACATTCACGAGTCCGTGTTAAGTCTAGAATCAGTCTCAGTCTCTTTCTAGATTTGTTACACTTACCTTCAGAAACATTATTTATGATGTGGCATTCCTACACTACTTTCCGTGGCAGGCTGTAGGAAAAGACTATTACTTATTGAAAGGAAGAAAAACAATTCAAAATGAATAAACATGTTTTGAATCAAAATCCAAATATGAGTTTTCCTAGAAATACAGAGCATGCAAAATATTGTTTAGCAAATTTAGAAATATTTTATACACAAAAATTCCCAAAAAGTGGATAGAAGTTGGAGATCGTTTTACAGAAGGAAAAATTGAGGCTCACTGTCCAAATGCCTTGTGCAAACATAGGAAAAAAGAAATGGACCATTCTTCCTGTTAAACAGAACTTATAGCAGAGATTGGTGGGTCTTACCCCAAAATCCACTCTCCTCTTTCCTTTAGTAACAGAACCCCAGCTAACAGACTATATTTAACCCCCCTCCCTGCTAACAGTACGACCATGTGCCTATGTTCCAGCCAACACAAAGTAAGTAGAAACGAAATGCTGAGTGGGACTTCCAGCAAGTCTTCCCGTCTTCCTGAAAAGCTGATGCAATGGCTGGATGTTCAGCAGCCATCTGGCCAAGAGGCAGAAGCTAGTGGCTGAGGGAGAACGGAGCAGAAAGGAGCCTGGGTTCCTAGTGGCACCCTGAGACCACTGTATCAGCCCTCCACTGCCTGCCTCTGGCCTTCTTTTACACGAGAGAAAAATAAACTTCTCTCTTAGTGAAGCCACTGGAATTTTGATTCTTTTGGATATATTCAGCTGAACCTACTCCTTTTCCAAACCCTAATCCTATCTGAATCAGAATGAACTATCAGATCAAACTTCTACCAGGGAACGAAACTTAAAACTAGACAGTAAAGTTCTAATTAATTGTATCACACAGTTTCTCATATAAACTATGTAATGAATAACATGACGATAACCTGCAAAAGCTTTCACTGTAAACTGACAAATGCTCAATAAATATCAATGCTGAAGAGAGAAATAAAGTTTTAAAGATTTTCTACAATGAACTAGCGTTTCCTAAAGTAATATAATTTTGGACAAGTTAGCAACAAGAGCAAACAATAAATTAATATTTATAAAAATATGACCCTAAATTTGGTGCTGAATAAAGTTAAGGAAATATAATCCCCGTCTTCCACAAAGCATCACTTTTGAAAGATAACATGGGGGCACACACGGTAACAGACAAGTCTGTACGTAATTATGTAAACACTGCTTTGACACACACCAAGTGTTTTTATTGTGGTAGCGTTTGTGAACGTGCGTTTTGGTGATAACGTTGCAGCTATGACAGAGGACACCGGTAGGACAGAACACGCGGGAGGAGAAGGTACTGACCCTGATGTGCTGTGGTCAAACCAGCTTTAGTGTCTGCAACTCAGAGTTCTGTGCTGTTCAGACTGTCTGAATGCCAGCACAGGAAAGCACTCTACCTCCCAAAACACTGCAGGAGACAGTCCATTTTATGTGGGAATAATGGCTTTTTAACAGTGCTCAATTAGGAGACATTAGGAACCTTGCCTTGAAAGCCATTAGCAAATTCATCTGGAAGATTTTATGCTGCATCATAAACAGCCAGCAACTACAGACATCCTAAACTGCTTGGTCTGCCACCTTGCCTCAGACACTCGCCATTGAAGCTGCTTCCTGGAGCCAGCAAGCAGCATCATAGACACTTACGGATAAAAAGTTGAAGGATGTGGGCAATTCAAAGCAGAGGACGCCGGGAACCCCATATGCCGAAAAATTCAGACAACCTTGCCTTTTACTTTGGAGGAAATTTCTATTTCCAAGGAAAGCATAACTTTTAGTTTCTCCGCTAGCCCTGGCAACAGAGGGGGCTGGCTGACGGCTCTTCCTATCACCATCAAACTTAATTCAAACTGGAAACCAATCTCCACTCCTTTTCCCCCTCAAGCACGGTACCTAATAAGATGCAATCACATAAGCTCACCTCAACCGCGAGGTGGAGATTTAAGTCATTCTTTTGTAATCGGTTACAGAAGTAAATCTATCCATCTGTCTCAGTCTGCTTTTTTGCCAGGAATAACACAATAATAGAAACCCCAAATATATGAGGAAAAGATCTTTAAGTCTGTGCCTTATTACAACATGGAAATCAAGAGACAGCTGAAGATAACCGTGCAGTGTACTGATCCTTTGTTCACATGCTCCTAATTTAAGACCAGTAATGCTCATCACTGAAGTTAATCTACCAGTTACCACCACCTGCAGCACAGCAGACACTCAGCAAGCGACACCTGTTGCTGTAACTCCCCTCCTGACGCAAAGTACTCTCATTTTATCCTCCTCTTAACATTTCTTGTGTTAAGCTTCTAAAATCCACAAAAATCATAAAACTACACTGTAAGAGACAGCCCAACACTCTCTAGGCCATTCTTCTTATTTTATAAAACACTGACCTTGAATGCCCCTGAGAGATGATAATTTCACTCAGATTTTATCTGCCCGCCCGCCCTCTGAAGCACACACAGAATCACTTGCTTTTGCTGACAGAGGACTGCTTTTCAACTGCTGTCATAACAAAGCTCTCAAGGGCAGCCCACAGATGACCATCTGCAGCAGGACCGCTGAGGGGAGGCCGGCAAAATGCAGGTTCCTGGGCCCTGCTCCAGACCCCAAACCAGGATCTCTGCTGCGGGGCCCGGGAACCTGCACTTTTATGACAAGCGCTATCGCCTTGAAATCAAATTCCAACTCCTTAAGCTGGAACCCTGTTCCTCCTTGTCCACTTGTCAGAGGAACTGGAAAGCCCTGCGCCTCTCAACTGCCTTCTTCCAGATCGTACAGCCGTCTAGGAAGCCGTCTAGGAAGAGACAGGATCTCTACATCAGCAAGCACACTGCAGCTCTCCAACCCCCCTTCTTCAGTTTGGTTTCTCTCTCACCCCTTTTGACACCAGTGTGCCACTTCTTCCCAACCTTCCTGCAGCCCCTCAACGACTGGCAAACAGTGGACGCAAACCAACCAGCAGTCAGCATCTGGAAAGACGGGTTCACGGAGTCTGGACTCCGTCCTGTGTTCCTGTGTGGGTCCCTGTTACGCGGTAACTTCTTGACAATGACACTTCCGGGCGTGTTCTGCTTCCTGGGGATAAATCCTCCTTGCCTCTGTTTTACACACTGTCTTTTGGGACTCCTTCCAAGTCCTCCCACTGAGATTCCATCTCCAAGTTAGCTCTGTAATGCACAACATCAGTGTTGCCCCGGCAAGCACAGGAGCCATCCAAGTCTGTGTCAGACGTGCATTCCGTGAACATGCCTGCCCCGCCCTAAATTCAGCACTGTGGAAACCCAGAGGACACCCAGGCTGGGCGGAGAGCGCAGCCTCCTCCCGGAAGCACTGCAGGGTGCGCCGCGGTCAGACGCCCGCTCCCGCTCAGCACTTCCCACCTGTCCAGCCCGTGTAGGCCGTGCCGTCCCGGGGGTCTGCCGACTTCAGGCCTCTCTCCATTTGCTGAAGAAGCTCTCGAATCTTGTTGTTCAAGCGCTGTGAGAACTCGGGAGTCAGCTGTGGATAGTAAAGGGAAAACAAAGGTGAAAAAAGACGAGCCTCTCAGCTTCCTGGACCACAGGCCGTCAGGGACAGGAGGGACTTCGCGTCCACTCAGGCCACGCTGTTCCGCCCAGGAGAACAGGACAATTATTCTATTCTTAAACAAAAAATTGACAAAACTTGAAAGTACTACTGTGTTTTCCTACTCAAGGCAGGAAATGTTTTTGTTGTAACTTAAATATTTTACATAAAATTTTTAATTAAATACTAAAATAGACCACCAATGCTAAAACTGCTCACAGTGATTTCCAACGAATAGGGATCATCTGTTATTCAAACCAATATTTTTTATTATAATAAAAGTCATTTTATCGAATTAAGCACAAATCAGAAGATGTTTGCTGTTTTCAAGCCACTGGATTTTTAGTATTCAAGCAGCAGCAATGTTAATTCCCTAAAGAAATACGCTTTGGCTTTGGTTATCTAAAAAATGAGGATAAGCATTTATAAAAATCCATTTATAAAAAATGCATTAACATTTTTTAAAAACTGTAGAAGTAGCATAAGAAAAGCCAAACAAACTCAGGGAGCTCAGGAGCCTCAGGCCGAGTGGGCAGAACACCAGACCTGGCACAGACGCCCGGCCCGCCAGAGCTGGCAGAGCGGGGAGGCCCACACACGGCTCGGGGCGCGCCTGGCCACGTCCTCACCCGCTATCGGCCGAGCGATCTCGCTCAGCTCTCAACCTCGTTCCGCTCCAGTCACCTCTGGAGTCGGGACGACACCTGCCCAGCAACTTCACAGGGTGCCGCGAGGACCAAACGAGACGGGGCGTCTCAGGGATGTAAATGCTGACACTTGGACTGTCTCAAGCAGCCCGAGGGTCTGTCACGAGCAGTAAGCTGGACGTGGAATGTGAGCCCTCTACGGCTGGGCGGCGGTCCCTGCCGTCCACGTGGAGGCCACAGACGTGGGCAAACCGCAAGGCCCACACGATCACTGTTATCTGTCCTAAGGGCGACTGGAAAACACTGTGGAAGTTCTGCCTACACTGAACCATGAAGTGCCTCACAAGGCCACCTTAACGTCCCCTCAGTGATGTCAGGGCTCTGCCGTGGTTCCCAGCTTGGATCTCACAAAGCAGCAAAGTCTCACGAGGATGCTGGGGACACTGCAAGGGCACCAACACTGTGTGGCACCACGTGAGGACTGTAGAAACAATCCTCACTACCAGCTGTTAGCATCGTCATCTCATTTTTTAAAAAGGGCATCTTAACACTGAAAAAAGTAAGAAGGCAGCATCAGAATTACTAATAATAATAGTAAAAGACATTAAGTTTTACTTCTGAAGAGCATCTCTGACAATGCAAATCAGACTCTCGACCATCTCTGGATTAGTTACCACCGTGACCCCGTGTCTCACTCTGAAGAAGAAACAGTTTGACGGACACACTCCCACCATTTCACAATTCCTGCCAAGAGGGTCAGATTTCAACCAGTCTTGAAAATACATTCAGCGAGATAAAACATACTTCAGTATTAACACAAAAGGCCCATCGATCTCAACGAGAGGGAAGAGTGTGTCTCACGAGAACGCCACCCTCTGCTCACAGATCCTGCGTCATTCATCACCCTGCCTGGCCTTCCTTGAAGAGACCACGAGTAACGAGAGCCCCTCAGCCGCAGGAGGGGAGGGCACCTTCTGTGTGGCACACGACGGCGTGAATAAAGGTGACCGCCCGAGAGTACTCCCGGCTTGTGGCGGACCACAGAACGACTCCAACTGAGCCATAATTGGAGGTCTCTAACAGCCCCTTTTCCTGATAGATGCCAGAAAACAGACCGGTTCCTTACTGCAAGCTCCGTGTTAACAAATTAAGGAGGACAGAGCTCCAGGGTCTGGTCCTTGGTGTTTAACGCTAAACTATTTTAGAACTGGTACGCTAGTGTCTTTCTGGAATTGGTCCAAAGACCGTGTGTTAGGCAATGAATTACATTCTCATTTTGGGCCAGAGTTTAAATTCATGAATATCTTTTTTTCTCCCTTAGAAAGAGAGCTGAATTTGTAAAACGCATTTAGTTTATAAGCAGCCTAAACAGCGAGCTGCACGTTACCGGAGGCTCCTGTCGTCAGGACCGTCCTCATGCTCTCTCTGCCCGGCCAGCACGGAGCGGCCTGTCCTCCGACAAGACGAGACACACACCCCAGCTCAGGATCCGCAGGCCGGGCAGAGCGCAGGTCCCTACGGCCTCAAGACGACGACAAGGAGCTTCGCTTGGCAGTGCAATTCTGGGTTCGGCATCAGTGACTAACGCTGCACACACTCGGGCAGCCTCCACCCTACAGCTCTTCTCGGTCCCCCTGCACCACGCACCCCAGTTCACCCAGGTGACGGGCCTTCTAGGGAAGAAGCCACAGGGCCACGTCCAGTGCCCCGGGCACGCAGGGGATCTCTCAGGCCGCCGTGTCACTCGTGGAACGCTTGTCACGCGACTGATGAGCTTAGAAGAAGCAAACCGGGAAAATCACACAAAAATGTGCGTGCCCTTAGAGGGACCCCTCTTCCAACCTAACGCTGAGATCTCTCACCGGGCGGTCTTAGGAGAACCGTGTCCCTCCTCACCATGCTCACCCCAGGGGCCTGAGCCACCGGCCTGGCTGTGGCCCCGCCTCCTCTGCAGGGCGCTGAGGTCACCCAGCCCCGTGCCCCGCTGTCCTCTGCTGCAGAGCCGCCTGCAGAGGAGCAACGGCGGCCGGCACCGCAGGCCTGCGCCCCACGCTCGGCACCGTGGGGGTCAAGGCGCCTTGACCGCACGTTCGAGCTGACCCC